GTAGCATTTCTATTCATTTGTCTCCCAGGTCTGTCACTGCTGGTGTCGCCCCTGGCCATGTAGCATTTCTGATCATTTGTTTTCCAGGTCTGTCGCTGCTGGTGTCCGCCCTTGTCCATTGGCCATGTAGATTTTTTATTTATTCCCCAAACAGTTTACTGTTAGGTGTTCTCAATTCTTTCTTAAGATGTGTCCGCCCTTTCCCTCCTGTTTCCTTTTGTCTCCCTTCTTGTCTCTCTTCTTGTTGATCATTGTGTCCGTCTTGTCTCCCTTCTGTTACCTTTTGTCTCCTTTTTGTTTCCCTCTTGTTGGTCACTGTGTACGCCTCGTCCCTTCTGTCTCCCTTTGTCTCCGGTCTTGTCTCCCTTCTTGTGGGTCACTGTGTCCGCCTTGTCTCCCTTCTGTTTCCTTGTGTCTCCCTTCTTGCTTCTCTTTTTGTTGGTCATTGTGTCCGCCTTGTCTTTGTCTGCCTTCTTGTCTCCCTTCACTGTGTCCGCATGTCTCCCTTCTGTCTCCCTTTGTCTCTGGTCTTGTCTCCCTTCTGTTTCCCTTTGTTCTGTTTCTTCTTGTCTTTGGTCTTGTCCCCCTTGTTGTTGCTCAACATTTGTCTCCCAGCTGCTCTGCCCTGCAATCCATCACATTTGTCTCCCGGCTCTGGGCTGCGTGTCGCTTGCAACCCTTTACATTTGTCTCGCTGTGTCTACACTTGTCTCCCAGCTCTGGACTGCTGTGTCCGCCTCTGCCTTGCAATCCTTTGCATGTGTCCTCGCAAGCCTTTGCGTTTGTCTCCCAGCTCTAGACTGCTGTATCCGCCTCTGCCTTGCAATCCTTTATTTGTCACCCAGCTCTGGGCTGTATGTCGCTTGCAATCCTTTACATTTGTCTCCCTGTGTCTGCATTTGTCTTCCAGCTCTGGACTGCTGTGGCCGCCTCTGCCTTGCAATTCTTTGTCTCCCAGCTCTGGACGTCGCAAGCTCTAGTTGCAGAGTGTTCCGATTTGAAAAACACAAACTGTTTGGGGGTCTACGGTGGTGTCTTTTGTCTCCCTTTTTGTCTCCCTTCTTGTTGGTCATTGTGTCCGCCTTGTCTTCCTTCTGTTTCTTTTTGTCTCCGGTCTTCTCCCCCTTATTGTTGGTCACTGTGTCCGTCTTGTCTCCCTTCTGTTTCCTTTCGTCACCCTTGTTGTTTCCCTTCTTGCTGGTCATTGTGTCCGCCTTGTCTCCCTTCTTGTCTCCCTTCTTGTTGGTTGTGTCCGTCTTGTCTCCCTTCTGTTTCCTTTTTTCTCCCTTCTTGTCTTCCTTCTTGTTGGTCATTGTGTCCGCCTTGTCTCCCTTCTGTCTTCCTTTGTCTCTTCCTTTTGTTTCCCTTCTTGTCTCTCTTGTTGTCCCCCTTCTTGTTGGTCATTGTGTCCGCCTTGTCTTCCTTCTTGTCTCCCTGTGTCTCCGGTCTTGTCTCCCTTCTTCTGTATCCTTTTGTCTCTCGTCTTGTCCCCCCTTCTTGTTGGTCATTGTGTCCCTTCTGCCTCTTTATCTCCGGTCTTGTCTCCCTTCTTCTGGGTCACTGTGTCCGTCTTGTCTCCCGTCTTGTCTTCCCTTTGTCTCCGGTCTTGTCTCCCTTCTTGTTGGTCATTGTGTCCGTCTTGTCTCCCTTCTGTTTCCTTTTGTCTCCCTTCTTGTCTTCCTTGTTGGTCATCGTGTCCGTCTTGTCTCCCTTCTGTTTTTTTTTGTCTCCCTTCTTGTTGATGTCTTAAAAAGTGGACTTGGGAATGCTTCGTTGTTGTCCCACCTGTTTGGGGTCTACGGTGGTGTAATTTGTGAGGGAATAGACAAGCAGGCAAAAATTCTCGGTGTTTGGACGAATAGTTTGAAACCGCATGAACGCAGCTAATGGCTTGATTGAAGCCCTGCTGAGGCTGCCGCCATCACTGCCGGGGCCAGGTGGTAGCTTCCTCCTGCCGCCCAGTGCGGGCTTGGACCTTCTGGCTGCTGGGGTCGCAGTCAGTTGCACAATTGCATTGGCAAGGTATCACTGTATCACGCCTTTTGCCCTGACCGATTACAGCTGTTAGTGTTGCGAATATGGGTGGAATGGTGCGATTTGTTTGACTTTTTATATAATGCTTTCGCAACTATGTTTGATGTCTAAATGCAACCCAATAAAGCATGTGGAGTGAGAGTTCATTTCCTTGTATTCCTTTTATTCTGTTTCGTTTCCTCCTAGACGAAGTACAAAAAGAATTGGGCTCGATGCACAACGGTGTTGATAGAGGGCTGGGCCGGGGGTTTACTTTGGGCGCAAACTTTGGATAACTCCAGGTGTAACATCTTTGGATATTTGTATTCAGTACTTTGCCAGGGCCATACCCGCACTGACAAGAATCGCCATGTTTTTGGTAATGTCTCCTCGAAACCATGAACTCTGGCCAGACTGAAGATGAATTTGGCACCCGGCTTGCACTTCTTTCCAAATCTTACAGAAAGTCTTCTGCCTCCCAATCCGCTTGTATGCGGCACATCAAAACAGAGAGTCTTGAGATTCCCTCATCATATGCGCAATGCGCGTGAACGTGAAGACTGAAGTTTGTACAAAATCTTCGTGGGGCTACGTTAGCTACTCACCATGATTTGTACAAAGGCTCATCAACTGTGGGATGAAGCCAGGTCCAAGGGTCGCCCGTGCCGAGGGATGTTCGCAGAACACAGGCAATTTCTTCATGAGTCAAGGCGCTTGGGTTGTTTCAATTTTGCTCGCTGCAATTGCAATTGAACATTTGAAGAACGACTTGCAAGCATCCTTGTCACAACTTCTTTGTGACAGCGACCTGTGTTGCTTTTTGTTGGAAGGTTTGCCAGCGATGCAAAGTACCTCGACAGTCAAAAGCATGGAGCGTTGCCAGGGAATGCGCTGCACTGTAGTGTGTGCTTGTGCTTTTCTTTGGTGATTAGCACTGTAGTCACTGCTAGCAGAAAGGCCTGAGGACCAGATTAGACAGGATTCCTCACAATGTCCACAACAGTTTGCGCAGGCGCAATAAATTGTTGCCCTCCCCGCTAAGGTCCGTTCAAAGCTTCTGGAAGCTCTGCAAGTTGTCCGCCAAGCAGTTGCCCAAGCATTGCACAATTGAGCTTTTGCTGCGATTGCTAGCTAGCATGCAAGTCGTGTCACTATGCGCTGTATCAGAGTGCAACCACTGAGCTGCTGTCATGTAGTTCGTGCACTTTGTTGGCATGCCTTTAGGTAGCTTTGGCCTTGCGCACAGCCCTTTGCCCGGCGGCAGCTTCTACAACGTGGGCTGCTCAAGACAAGTCTGCGTCTGCGTGTCAATAATGTGTATGCATACATGCCCAGACAAAGAGCAGAACATTGTAAGATGTGAATACGTTTGAAACATGTGTATACTTTGCTGATAGTATCCACATTTTTATCAAAGAGGATGCAGGCCTTGTTGGATTTCAGTCTTTGGCGGAATGAGATTTTTTGCACCAGGGTTGGTGGACCTTGGGGAAGGGAACATGAACATCTGACTAATGTCAAGCCACGATCAGGAAGCTACAGTAGATGAACAATCAAAATTGAAGGAGTCTTTCAATACAAGGATTACAAATCAGAGGTAGATACTTTGTTGCTTACTTAATTTTCCCAATCGCTCAAACTATATATGGTTATCAATTTTTCATGAAGCACATAGGCTTTTCACCAAGAAAGTGCAAGTGATGTGTTTCTAGGCGCCTCTTCTTCTCGGAATTAAGTCTCTCCCAGTTTTGGCCTCCTTGCTTTGTGTAGCGGAAGACACCATAACTTAAGTTTCCCTAAAAATCTAGGAACCAAATCGTAAGTGCGGGAGCTATCCAGCGTCCTACCTAGAAGCTAACTTAGTCTAGTAGCTTACTTTTGCCTTACTTAATCAAGTAGGTGCGTGCTTAATTAAGTAGGGAGGGGGGGAAGAGCGGGCAAAAGAACATCTTTCCTTTAAACGTGCATCTGATTTCGGGTTCGGATCTTGGATGACTAACTACATATGGGTTGAGCTTGTGCTGGACTTTGGGCACTGATCAAGCACGATAAGGAAGTTCACCTGAACAAGTTACGGCGTCAACAAAAGACTCCAGGGCACAAAAGTGGTTACAGTGAACAACACAGCAATTGCAATCGTCTCCATTTCCAAAGAAAGAACTGCAGCTCCTGTAGCCAACCTCTCAGCATAGTCAGAACGTGCTTGGAGCCTGTGGAAAGCAGGTTATGTTTCTTTAATACATTTCATTAGCTGCGAAAAAGGTAGCACGGCGCTCGAAGTCCGTGAAGAGGTCGAAAACGATGGCACCACACGAGGTGCCGCGGCCGCGCCTTTTCTCAAGGCGAACGCCCACCCGAAGCTCGAGTGGGAAAGCGTGGGGCATGAAACAGTTCGAAAAAGCTGCAACCCAAGTGCACAGCGTGAACTTTACATGGAGGAAAAGGGGTCTCCAGGAAAGCTGCGCTCGAACCTATCAAGCCATTGGAAGACTCTGGTGCGCATCGGTGCCGCACCATCAGGATCAGAAAGATCCGGCGGAATGATCCGCAGGCTACACAAGCGGCAGCTGTCAACTCACCTCTGAAGGCGGGTGTCTCTTCCATCAAGACTCGGGCAGTTCGGGTCCACGTGCCACTTGGCTCCGTGGCGGCACATCACCACACCCCTGTAGAACGGGCACTCATTTCCATGCTCGTCCATCTGGCGAAGGGCGGACTTGATGATGTCCTTTGCCTCATGGACCAGGGTTACAGCATCGTTCTGGCCTTGGATGGCCAGGTTCAAAGCCGCTCGGGCTTCACATGCAGCAAGGCGGGACTCCTCTGCTTTGTTGCTCCATCGCAAGATCTCTTGCTTGAGTCTCTTGACTTCTTCTCGAAGGCGGGCACGGACGAGCGCTTTGTCTTTCTGCACTCCAGCCTCTTGGACATTGGCGCGAACTTCAGGAGGTGCTCCATGGCTATAGCGTCCAATCATGAAAGCTGTGCTCAAAATGAGCACAAAGAAGGTGCACAGCATCACACCAAACCAGTCCATTTCAGCTCCAGCTTCACTTTCGGCATGTGTTGCTGATGCCAGTTGAGGGGCCATGAACAAAAGCAAACACCAAAACATCACATTCGGCATGCGACCGGTGAAGGGCTCTACCATGCGGCTCTCGACATGGCTCGGACTGTGGGAGACATACTTTAACTTTAGGTCGGTCCGCGCAAGCCTGACATTCTCAGGGAACAGGGCATTCCTGGAAATTTCTTCATTCCAAAACACTTGCTCATCGACAAAAACTTCATTCTCTGGGAGATGCTCGTCGATGGGCTCCAGGTGCTCTTCAGGGAGGTGGTTCTCCTCATCAGGCAGGGGCTGTGTGGGCACTTGAATGCTTTCAGCAAGGCTCTGTTGGAGCTCAGCTTTTGTTTTCTTCTTGGCAGCTTTGTAGGAGGGGTCCCAAACAAGCTTCAAACGACCGTGACGGAGTCGTTGTGCAAGAAGTGCTCTGGCCGACTCTTTTGTCAATCCGTCAGCCAGTTGGCGCTCCGATGACATCCACCTCAAGGAACCGCCGAGGGAAGTGAGGCGATCCTTCATCACACGGATCTCAAGCGAAACTCGCTTGTCAACCACAGAGCTTCCGACTCCTTCTCGATGATAGGAGTCGTAAAGGGCCTTGGCGTCCGTGATCATGGTGGGCGACAACAAGGAGGGAGCATCCAAGAGCTCTTTGAGTCGCTGGCGAGGGTCAACCAACAAGCTCCAGTAGATGCTGGCATGTTCCAATGCATCGCAAGCTTGACCACCGCTTTGTGCTTCGGCGCCCAATGAGGAGCGTGCAACTCTTGGCGTCTTCAAGCTGCGCCAATCCAAAACGTGGTAGGCTCCTTCGGGTCCATTGGCCTGAAGCAAAGCTTTGTTGACCATCAGGATCACATAGCCAGCTTGTGAGGCTCCGTCGCTGCGGGTGGCAAAAGCAGCATCAAAAAAACATACCATACAAAGTTCTGAAACTTCACCCAGGTGGCTGTACTGTAGACCAACATCAGCATTTTCTTTTGCAAAACGCAGCAGGCGATTGGTGTCGGCCACCGTCTGGAGCGTGGCCTTAGTGACATGACCGCTCAGGATCGAGGTGCTGCTCTGCAAGTGAGGACTGCTCTGAACTGCGGGCCATTGTAGTGAACCAAGAAGTCCTCTCAGCTGTGTCAGCTCACGCTGATTGAGCGCATCAGTGAGGCTGCGCTTCTTGTCATAGGTGATCGGTTTCACCTTTCCCATGTAACTGGTCTGGTTGAGGAGGAAGCCATCATCCTTGACCTGAATGTCACAACCACAGTAGGTCAAGGGCTTTCCATCATCACCAGTTTTCCATTCCCTGAAGTTGAAGGTACCCTTCCGCTTGGTGATGGTGTCGTTGTAGCACTGGGAGTGTGATGAACCGCAACCAAGCATGTCATCTACATGCATGATGACCATTCCACAAAGACCATGAGGTCCGAGCAGGTTGGAGCGCTCAGCTGTGGTGTCATACTCAGGGTTGAGGTCGCCTTCATAGATCAAGAAACAGCAGGGGTCTTGAGGATGCTGTCGGAGGCCCATAGCACTCAACTTATCAACTGCAGCCATGAACCAAGATCTTGGTGCGTCGATCTGGCCGTAGCAGGGCTTGAGAAGCAACATGCGGGTGTCAGCTGTAGCTCCAAGCAACTGCAAACACTCTTGAGGAAGCTGCGCCCACAACTTGCGAGTCTGAGGTCGGCCCTGTAGGAAAGCGGTTGCAATGTCTGAAGTCCAGATAGGCCACTGCATGGTGGAGGCCAAACTCAAAAGCATGGATCTCGACAACCTTGTGGTCGTGGGCGATGAGGTCGGGACAGTGCCTTCCCAAGCGTCGGGGTCCATGAAGCCTCTGACAATGAGCCTGGCTTTGGCTCGTGGACTGCCATCAGGATTCTTTGACCACTTCAGCAACATCCGACTGGTCAACGTCCGACTGGGCTCAGCTTCTCTGGTGGTCTCGAACTGCCAGACGTGGTTGTCGAAGAAGGATTGCAGCTCTTTGACCTTAGCCGCTTTGAAGGCTGCTCGCTCATCGGGAGTCATGTGGCGCTCGGAGAGGTTGTTCTTGTTCTTGTCTTTCTTGAAGCTTTTGGCGTGTCGGAGTTTGGTCTCCTTGCCAAGCTGTCGTGCTCCTTGAAGTGGCGCCTTAGCAAACATAGCCATCTCGCGACGGAGGTCGCCTTTGATCTGGAAGATCGTGACTCCTGTCCATGAGCGATCCAGTGGAGTGGACACAGTGTAGCCATCGTCCGTCTGCTGAATGCTTTTGCCGTTGTTGTCGTACATGACGGTCACCCGAACCAGATCAAGCTGATCTGAGGTGAATGGATTGTCTTTTGGCAGTTGGTGTAGGCACATCTCAGATCGTCGAGGGATCACATGGTGGCGGATCAGGCATCCCGCTTTGACTTCCCAGAAGTCGCGGTCTCTCTTGTCGAGCTGGAAGTAGCCATTCTCATATGTCCAGCCTTTTGGAAGGCAATTGGCTTCGATGCCTGAAACTTGAAAGGCATGGTTCAGTAAGGCATGATCGGGCGCCTTCTGACTTGCATAGAGAGCAGGATCGTCCGAAGCAGCAGGCGCTGCCGATACTTGGGCTGGCGCTTCTGCGGCTGCCGCTGTTGCTGGTGTGTCATGTTCTGTCCTGTCTTGTTCTGCTTCCGCTGATGCTGGTGTATCATGTGGTGCCGTGTTGTATGGCTGTGGTGACCCAATGCGCTGTCTTCGCATGGGGCCAAAGCTCAGGGTTTCTTGCCTGTTGAATCGTGCTCGTCTTTGTTGAAAGGACTCGGCATCAACTGTTTCGTAAAAGGCTGCCGTGGCAGGATCCAAGGTGGGTCTTGGCATTGGGGCCTGTGGTGCTGTTGCCACGGCTAGTGGTGATGCAGCGTGTGGTGTGGCTGCTGCGGACGGTATGGTTGGTTCTTCGCTGGGTTCAACCACAGTAGGTGCTCGTGAACGAGACCTAATAGTGGCTGGTGAACCTGATACAGCGATCTCGGCCTGGGCCAAGGGTAACAACATGTTTGGTTCTGCCGACACTGGTGGTGGTGGTGGCCTGGGTGATGTCGGCGCAAAGCTAGAGTGTGCAGGTGATGTTGGCTCATACTCATCATCAGGCACGATGATCTGTGGTGGTGCGTCTGCTGTCGGCACTGGTGGTTCCAGTCGGAAGCGATGTCGGGGAGGCTCATCATCTTCTTCTTCCTGCAAGGGCCCGTC